CAAGTCGCTGGAGGAGTTCAAGGAACACAGAGAAATAGAAGCTCCTTGACCGCATCCTCTTGCGCATCAATGTCGGATGGTATGTATTTCATCCTCTTGCTTTTCAGGATCTGACTGTGTCATTTCTCGTAGCCATCACTCGGGGGCGCAGCCCATTGCCACCGTTACCACCTCCACTCTCAGCAAGGAGGTCCTCGACGTGGCTCTCAGGGAGTATGAGGAGGATAAGCCCGAGAGCGATGGCGACGAGGATGGTGAACTTGCTGATGTTGATATGTAGGAGTAGTGGTTTCGCATCAATGGCGCATCAATATATTTCATTCTTCTGCTTCTTTTTGGGATTGCAATGAGAGAAAAGTACGATCTGGAGTCCTACAAAGTAATATGTGGACAACATGACGATAGGGATACGAAGTTACATACACCCCGTGTGCCGCTATATTATCATACATAGCATGTGATAGTTATGTATATCATCTGACATAGTGTCTGATAGTTTTGGTTGAGAGCTACAGCCTGCTATATAATGGGGGGTAAACGACAGCCCTACCTGGGCGATCGTTACTACATTACACACCATCGTCAGTAAGATTTTTCCTGATGTGAGGCCAAGCCTATCCCCCAGAACAAGGCCAGTACTGTCTCGTCAGTAAAATTCAACGATTAGGCACCCATAAACTCCGAGCCATAACAAAACAAAAGTACCTGTGAAAAAGTTGGGGGGCTGAGGTAAAGACCAGGACCATGTTCAGAAAAGAAAATGTATTTTCACCATGTAAAATATCCAGGAGATGCACACATTTGTGCAGGATTATTGAAAATAACTAGGAAACACATGTATTTATGCAGGATTATAAAAAGTGCACATGGACCGCCATACAGCCCCCTGCAACTTTTCACGGGTACTTTTGTTTTGTTATGACTCGGAGGTCATTCCCGTTTAGGAAAGGGAGTCAGTTTCAATTCTGCTGCCATTCCCCAGAGCTTGGAGGAGTTCATGGGTGCCTAATCATTGAAGTTCACTGATGAGATAGTACTGTCCTTGTTCTGGGCTCTCACTGGGATAGGCTTGGCCTCATCTGACAAGATAATGGTGTAATTTCACCAAATTTCACCCTGGCGTTCATGCCACTCCCTTGACTCCAAGCGTGCTTGGGTTAAAGGCGAGCTGATCCGCTACGTACGACTGTGCTCCAGTGAAACGGACTTCTTGAAAATCCGCACGGACTTTACGCAACGTCTACGTGACCGTGGTTACCCAGGGAAATGGCTTCGATCTGTCTTTGAGGAAATCAAATACAAAGTCGAGCGCCCAAGGGCGCTGAATTCGGCCGATCTTAAAAACTCGGACGCTGACTGTGATTTGCATGTCCTCAAGCTCACCCATAATCCAACTTGGGATGGAGTTGATCTCCAACCAATTTGGCGAGAGCTGGATGATGCCTGGAGCGAACTTGGGGCAGGCTACCCTAAATTCAGATTCCTCGCGTCTTTCAAAAAACCAACCTCGCTGGGCGACCGACTTAACTCTGTTAACCGTGACACACTCGAAGCGTATCACAGGCGGCTAGCGGAGAATGTTTAACACTCTTTTTTCTCAATCCTTGATGCGCGCCGCGTGCTCCCCTACGGGTCGCACACTGCGGCGACGCGCGTCTTCAGATTCGAAAAAAATGAGAGTCTTGAATCCATTCTCCACTCAGCAATAAAATTGATTTGACCTAACCGTTTTACTCTGTCGAGCTCTAACGAGTTCCGGATAAAAATGCCGAGGACTGCAGAACATACCTCGATTTCCAGCCCTTGACCGGGTTTTGAGATTGTCTGCCCTGCTTCAGACCTGCTCTCCGCGCCCTTGACCGGGCGTCCCAAAGGCTGTCGCATTTTAAATCCTCTTGTCCAGGTCATTAAATTACTCCACCTACCTCGTAAAAACATCCTGTGGCGCGCTGGGCCCGCGGGATGTAGACTTAGATGGTGAGCTGAGAAGGACCGGAGCGAGCGTTGAGTCCCTAAAAAAGATTCCGCGGACCCAGTTCGGCCCGTTTGTTTACAGAACAAACACCGCCGTGATACCTAAAGGGAAAAGACGCCACCTGATGAGTCCTCACAGACGAAACGTTGACCTTAACGTCGTGGTCCCATACACTCTCTGCCCCCAGCCCTCATCCTCCCGGGCTGATTAGGAGACAAAATGGGGCTAGGATTATCCCAATAACAGCTTCATGGATATAGGATTGAAGCCCTGAACCCAATGTCTGATAGCAGTCCTCTGGGGCACAAGACAAGGACCAAAAGCATCTTTGTTTGGTCTTGCTTTGTGATCTGGAGCGACGGGACTGGTCATGTGATCTCTGATTCCATCGTTCCCGACAAGTTCCTGAAACATTGAAACAACCCCGAAAACATTATTTGACCCGAAAACTTTTGTTTTGACTGAAGCTCAAAAATATCCAGGGTTGAGAGTCTTTTCCTAGGCGGATCCAGTAATATTTCATTGTTGCCCAAAACACTGAAAATTACCAGGAAACACGTGTATTTATGCAGGATTATTAAAAGTGCACATGGACCGCCATAGGGCTGAGGTAAAGGCTAGGACCATGTTCAGAAAAGAAAAAATATTTTCACCATGTAAAATATCCAGGAGATGCACACATTTGTGCAGGATTATTGAAAATAACCAGGAAACACATGTATTTATGCAGGATTATAAAAAGTGCACACAGACCGCCATAGAAATGTGCATGGATTATTGCTCTTTTCATATATAATGACACACCCCCCCCCAAAAAAAAAAACTTTCAGGACATAGGGTGTCCAAAGTCGCAAGTTCAGCTGACATCACTTCTGATTTAGACATAGCCAAACAACACATCATTTCTTTTCTTGTTTCCACCATTGGCGGTCCTACCATAACAACACCTTACTATGCCCAACCAGCATATTAGCAACAACCTGAAAGAGGCCTGAAGGCCTGTGAACGTGACAGAACCGGGGAAATTCTCCACATTGTCGGCTTCTCCCAATCACACTCTACTGTACAAGTAGGTGAAAGCACCAGATGGGCAGTGAGTGCTGCCAAGGTACAAGCCATTGGACGAGGCCGCCCCTGTATGCTGGCTCATCAGGATGCTGATTATCTTGTCCAGCTTGCAAAACATAAACCTACACTCTTTGTTAATGAATATCGCAATCGACCTGAGCACTATCATTATGTTCCTGTTGTGATTCGGACCGCGGTGCTACTGCTGGCAAGTCGGTTTGTCACTTGGCAGGCTCAGCAATTCATCCTCTAGGGGGAAATTTGTATGACTAGAGTCTCTCATTGGCTGCGGAGATGTGTTTTCAAATTGGTGGTGTACAAAATGCTCCATTTCACAAAGGGAGGTTCCTAAGGTCGCTGATTCCTTCCCTGAGGGAGAGGAAAGCCTTCCAATGAAGTGTGGCAGCTCCATTCTACACTCGGGAACGAGAGAGGTCGGCCGTGATGTGATGCAGAGGGATGCACTGATGCTAGACTGGGGTATATCGGTCCGTTCTAAGTCTCCACGGTTGTATAGCCCAACTTCGGAGTGCTACCAAAGCCAAATGTAGGGTGGGTCCGCTGTGATTGTCAATGATCTGCACAATCCCTCTCTGCTTTGTTCCTTTCGTCTGCCTCTATGGAGAATTCCTGTTTTCCAATAAAGAGTCCACTCCTTTAAAAAGCCCTTGAATGCTGTGGTGCTGTTCTCCTGCTCTACTGTAGGACCAGGTGTCCCGACAGGGTTTTAACAGCTACAAACAAGTACGACAGTCGTCTGCAGCATCATTTGTGGTGGGAGTTCTGCTCCGCTTGGGCCTATATGGCAACGGAGGAGGCAAATATCAAATAAGAAGTGGGTATATGTGTCTCTGCTGCGAGGGGATGGCGACGGAGTGAGGCAGAAGGGAAGTGAAGGTGTTCCCTTTGGTCTCGGTGACCTTAGGTTCTTTTGATTGACCGGTCCCTCCCACCCTTAGGCTGGTTTAAATGCCTAGATGGCAAGGGGAGAACTAGATATTGTTATTGGAGTGTCAATCCCTTATTTATACCCTGGTGGAGCCCACACACAGCCTGCCCAGAGTATTGTTGGCCCTCCGCCATCATTCCTGTCAATGCGGTGGGTCTCTGCCTTCCTTGTGGACTCCGCTTTCCCAATTTCTATGAAGCCTTGAGGCATATGTTCCCAGACACCTGTCATGCTCCTTTGTTCGCAGGCAGAGGGACGAAAACCTACGGTGGAGTGCATTACTCCCACTCTGCTTCTCCCAATTCATCCCATTTTGGATATTCAAGTAGACCATCACATATTGCATCCCGTTTGGGAAGTTCCATTTCAAAATGGCAGTGGTTCAGTGTTTCTTCCTTGAGGCAAATGCTCCACCAAGCTAGGTCATATGGATGATGAGGCAGAGTCCCGAAGTAACAGTACCAGCAGTGTGCCTGGCTGCGTTGCTTCTACTTGATGGGGAGGAGCGGCTCTGTCCAATGAGAGCTCAGGAGGAGTGGTATCCATGACAAACTGAGTTCTAGTTCTCGGGCGGAGGCCCTTTCCGTTGGTATCAGACAGTGACCCCACGCTACTCTCGGTGTGAGCACGTTTCCAAGGTGGAATTGTGATTTTGTTGGCAGAGTATGTGTATCAAGAGTGGAAAGGCTGAGCTGTCTTTAACAGTGTTTCCATGCTTTTTATTGGCAGACTAGGTTCTCCTAGAGGCGGAGTCATCGTAACAGTGTTTCCATGCTTTTTATTGTTGGTGGACTAGGTACTTCCCAGAGGCGGAGTCGTTGTAACAGCGTTTACGAGCAGGATCTGGTGGTCATTGGAGATTACCAATGTGTTCCTGGTAGAAGTGCTTTCTGGTTCTTGGCAGAATTCCTCAAGCCTCGAGGTGGCATCGCGTGAATCATCTGACGTGTTGACCTGCGGATGGATAATTGTGACCTCTAAAAGGACCTCCGTGTCCATCCCTGTATTGGTATTGTAGCATAGGGTAATGTACCGTGGATTAGTGAGGCCTGTTGTACCTCACCTGCAGAGGTTCCAGGTTCAACTCCTGGCAGTGTCATCTCGTTTTACCATTTCTTTTATGACTCGACTTTGCTCTTCCACCAGTTGTAGCACAGGGTGTCCACCGTGTCGTCCTATTCCATCAGTCGCTTTTGGGATAGCTCGTGGGTTTAACCTAATGGGGGTTGTTCTGTCACAGCTGCACCAGCGGCATTGCTCTTTTGTTGGTGGACAGGGTTTTTTCAAGAGGTTAAAGGGCTGAGTTGTCATCCTAACAGTGTTTCCATGCTTTCATTGCTGGCAGAGTGGGTTTTCCAAGAGGCAGAACAGCTGAACTGTCAGCCTAACAGCTTGGCAGACTAGGTACTTTAGGTGAAGGTTTGTAGTGATGGTGAAGGGATGTTGTTTGTGATATTCTGAGTTTCCGGAGTTGGCATGTGGAGCTGGCTCACACCGTCTCCTTAGCCACAATCCACAGGACTTTCTTACATCATCGCATGAACCTCAAGAAGATCCAGAAGATGTGAGAGGATCGCCTGATTTGTGTACGAGTGCAGAGAGCCTTTCAAATTGACGCCTTTGCAACATAATTTCCGACATTCTGGCACCGAAGTGTCCGGGCCACAAGATGAAGGCAACCGAAGCAGGTTGCGATATTTCTACCGTCCATTGTTCGCGGTGTTGGGATAGTAATCGGATTTTTCTGTGTTGTGGTTTTGTCGGCACCAAGTGCCTCATATTCTCTTTACACAAGCCTTTCCTGCTCACGGATATAATGTCTGCAGTTTTTCTGGTGGAGTATGACCACCGGTGTGCTTGCCCGCGCGGCACTCACCTGTTTCAATGTGTTTACTCGTTCTATGGAATGCTGGCTTCCAAAAGTGCCTTATCATACTGTTGACCCAGGTGCTTCATATTGTATTTAGCAGGGTCGAATGGCTGTCATTTTTTATATACCTATCAGCCCGGGCCTGGCTTTTCTTTCAAGCCTGGCCTGTCCACCGCGGCGGGTGGGTTATTTGCGCAATTGATTCATGCTGTTCCGGCCACCTTCTTTGTCCTCTCCGCTTCCAGCCTTCGCCTCAGACAAAAAATCTTCCCAGGGTATGAGGAAGTCTCTGACCCCGAGATTCCGACCTTGCCGAGAGCAATCAGCTGGAACGACTGTCGGAGACTTGAGATTGGTACCTCGACTGACTGGGATCTACCCCTGAAGCCACCGATTTCCCGCAGCCAAGTAACAAAGAATGATCTCACGTAAATAGGTTCCCGTAACGTTGACCTCTGCGTCTCACTGGGAACCTGAGAATCCTCATATTGCCCTCGTTGGTCACGAAAATTATTATGTCTAGGATTTTGGGCAACCTTTCAAGACAAGCAAGTACTCGTAGATTCCCAAATAATCGCACAGGTACCATGGCACATGCGATGCCGGCACATACCTGGCATCCAGAGCGGCAGCTCCCAGTGCCACGAGGGACAGGTGCCGTCCTAGTGCATATAAAGGATGAAATATGTGCATCTCTTCAATCGACGTTGTCGGCTTGCTCTCAAAAAGATAGGTCTCATCTTGACAACGCAACGAATCTTCTGCTCCCCCCACTGATTGTTGGCTCCCTCCTCCGACCTCGAACAAAGCAGATGTTTGGGACAGCATTTGCAGGCCCGAATGGGCCGGCGCACTCTATGACTGACAGCACATCCAGATGACGAAACATTCTTTTTCAGTCCAACGTTGACTGCTTTCAATTACTCGTCAATGGATGGACTCGAAGATATCTTTGTTGAATCTTTGTCCACTGGGAATGCAAAAGGTCTTGGGATGCAAGGAAAGAGGAGTTTGGGCGGGCCTTGGAAATTTTTAGAATAAGAGACGGAGAGACGGTTCATCCTGGATCATCCGTAAGTTGTCTTGGGGGATATTCCGGTTGTTAACGCTGTCTCACTGTATTTCAAAGTACTTGCAGGATAATAAGACGACTTCGTGGGACTCTGCTGTCATATCCAATGAAATACTTTCATTGGTCGTTGAATACAATATCACAACGGTTTGTGATCTCTCTCGGTGAATCTTATGTTCCTGTCTTGATACCGAATCGCAGATACTGACGTTTGACTCACATGGAATCACTGGCCACCCGAACCATCAGTCCGCTTTGGCCGGAGTAGTCCATCTTATCTCCAGCTCATTACCCCGTTCCCCGTCAATCATCCGTCCCCGTCTCTTCGCTCTCTACTCCCGACCCTCAACAAAGCATCTTGGCCCTCTGGCCGCATTTGTTGCGCCACGTTACATTTCTTCTCGCGGACCATTTCTCGTGGCCTCCTTGATAGACTATGTCACAGCACTTCGATCCATGAGTAAGCACACTAGCCAACTCCGTATGATTCCTTTTTTGAAAGGCTTTTTTTCGCGGTATTTATGGGTTAATGAGTGGGTTGAAGTCATTGTAGATGCCAATTATCTTCTGGAATAAATATTGGTCCCTCTTGATGAAGGTTCCATTGCCTCAACTAAATTACGTACTTCAACCCCGGGGAGACCGCCTTAAATCTTGCTCACCTTGGAACAGGTTATGATTATACGCTCAACTTCAACCTGATCACCCTGACTCTCCTCTGACAATCCTCCATTTGTTGTTTTATGAATTCTGTATCTCCTCAGTCCCCACGCGGTGTCACAGAGGATAGACTGAAACAGCTTCGGACACACCCACTTGAAGATTTTTGGGTCTCTGGACAAGTGCTCATGTAGCTTTTTTAAAAAATGAAAAAAATACAGCATGTGACTATCAACCCAGACGAGCTCAAAAAGGAAACTTGGTTGTGATCCTGCGATCCTCGACACCAGCAGTGACCCATGCATACCTCTTTGACTTCCATACCCAATGAACCAATATTTGTCCTAACTGACCATCCCTGCACGACAAAGATTTTACAGGCCCATGCACTGCCTCCAGCTCTGTTGTTTGAGCACTTGTAATTGCAAAGTGTTCTTCGATAGCAGCAAGTCTGCTGTCAATCGTTTCAACATCTCTAGCTTGCAAGGAACATTCAAACAATTGATGGGCCTCTCTCCACAGCTCTTGCGCTCGGCTCAAATTATCCTCCCTCTGGGCAAGATCCCCGAGACGTAACATGCAGTCTGCCCTGCAGCGATGAATATCCATACATGTGAATCCTTCCAAGGATATAATGAATAGGCTTTCTGCTGTTGTTCTATCTCCATTGGCAAGAAACACATCTCCGAGACAGCGGAGTGCCTTGTGCAATGCCAACTTGTTCTTTGACTTCTTTGCAAAGGCAAAGTAGACTGCTGCACATGTGGATGTCCAATGGAAATCAATGGGCTTCCACCGGTTGCTGTCTGCCATCCTCTCTAGACAGTAGAATGAACACTCTGCGCTTCCTCCCCAAGACCATTGCAGACGGTTTTGGAAAATCTTCTTTGCAGCCACAGTCTCTCCTTTACTGAGGTGTAGTTCTGCATAAACAGTTTGACAGTAATTCAGCCCGCTGGAATATGAAATGGCCGTGAATATCTGATGTGATCTGTCCAGACTGGAGAGCGCATCATCATTGGTCTCTGCATCAACCTCTGCAATATTCAGTAGACTAAATGCATAATTAGCAATATCTTGGTCTTCAGATATTTTCTGAGCAATTTGAAGGTGGAGGATTTTGGCCTCGGCATATTCCGATTTCTGCAGATGTGTCTCTGCCTCAATGCCCGTGATCAGACGACTGAGTGTGCACTCAGACATTCCACAGAGCCCTAACAGCTCTTTCGCTCTGTGCAACATTGAGACACTGTCATTGTAATCACCAAGTTCCCTGCAACACTTTGCTCCGGCCCACAAAGCCCTTGCTTCCTCATGTAAATCTGTTGATGACTGGGCAAGCCTGTGTGCCTCAATCGAAAGTCTCTTTCCTGTGGTATATTTACTGGATTTCCATTTGATGTATGCGAGTTGGGTCATAGTTAGGGCCTGTTGTTTTGTATCTCCGGCCAACTCTGCTAGTATAAGAGCCCTGTTAAGGAATTCAATGCATTCTGAAACATCATTTTTGTGCTCCCCATAGTAGAATCCTGCTGCATGATAGAACTGGGCTACCAGATAGTCAGAGTATAATCTTAGAAAGCAGTGATACAACCTACATTCTAGAACTGGATCATCAAAATGATGGAAATGGGATACGGCCTTAGCAATAAGCAGTTCAGGGTTGTGGAACTGTTGAAATACAATCAAACTCAAGATCTCTGTGATGAATTCCACTTCCAGTCTGTGATCACAGGGTCGAGGAAGCAAAGCTGGAATATGTTCTAGCAATGGGAGCCACGGATATTGTGTGAAGGCTCGGCTGAAGTGATTGAGGGAAATAACACATTTGATAGTATCTGTAAGATCAGAATTTGGAAGATTCAGCCCATGCAATAGCACCTGGTGAAGATTGGCAAAATTCAAAGTTATTTGATTGATCTGGTTGGCTCCTTGGCAAGAGCCTCGATATTTTCGATATAGATTTAAGAGGGCATGAAAATGCTCCCGGAGAGGCTGAATCAGAGAGGTTTCAACTGGGTGGAAGTACTGCATATGCTCTCGAATAGGAACTAGTGACTTCAGCCTTTTTTTATTGTCACTAAATGCCAGGGAGGTACCTAGCAATACAGCCTTGCATGATAGTACATTGGGGATTGGAAGGTTGCTTTGGATGAGCTCAATATCTGAGAGTCCATCTGGTAGAATTGAGAGAAGACTCAATAAATTCTTGGCACCAGGCAGCGAGGTGAGCCGAGGGCTTGAAAGTGAAATTTGGATGGATGCATCCAAATTGGATTGCTTCCCATAACCTTTTGACAGTGAAGTTGTCTTTTCTGTCTGCCACCGAGACAGAACACTGGAGCAGCCATCATAATTGACCAAATGAGCAATCAAATCCACTGCTAGCGGCATGCTATCTGTCAAGTGAAGGACCTGGTCAATTTCCTTTGTTTCATGGACATTGTCAGCAATGTCCATGAACATTTTTCGAGCGGCCTCAATTGATAGAGACTCC